TCAGTGTCAATGCATGTGTCAGTCACAGGACCAGCAGGTCACTAAATGTCCTGCAGAGAGAAATACTGCATGGCATGGACTAATGGGACTGCTTGTTCCAGAGCCTTTTCCACTCGCTGCAGCCCCACGTCCCAGGCACATCCCCTGCAGAGTGCAGTGCCCTGCCCAGCACTGAACACCATGTGGAAAAGGCACTGCCAGGCCCTGCAGCTCCCCAGCAGGATGGGGCCAGTGCACAGCAGTGTGACAGCAGCCACCCCTACCAGGCCCTGTGGGACCCTGATTTTAAGAGCAGCTTAAAGTCAGGCCAGAGCAGAGTTGTATGTAACGTTGTCTTAGATAGGTGGGAGGGATCTGTATTTCGCAGGTCCTTGTTTGTAAATCAGTCTATTGCTGAATCAGGCTCTAAATATTTTTCAAATTAAATTATTGCATTTCCGGAGTCTTTCAAAAGAAGAGGGCTCTGTACAAGACTGGTGAAGGAGTTTACAGTGACCGGTGCTCATATATTTTAATTCTCTGAGGCCATTTCTGTATGCTCATCTTCTTTCCTTGGTCTAAAACTTCATTTTCCTTTCACAGCTGTGAATTCTCTGGTGAGCCCTGCAGATGGGTTTGATAAATGCTGCTAATATCACCTTCTGATCTAACAACGCTCTGACTTTGGTCTGTAGGTCTTGATGAGTAATTGCTATTGTTCTACTCCAATGACTGAATTAAGATGCCCTGCTTTAAAGGGTTCGTACTTGTGTGGTTTTAGCCAAGGTGGCCCACTGCAGTACACCAATGGACATTGACCTTTCCTGAGTGCTGTGTTGTTTTAAACTGAAGCAAGCAAAATTACTTCGATTTCTACACCGGCTAAAGTCCGCTATACTCCTTTGGTTATTGTAGAGCAGAACGATATCCAAATTTAGTGTTGCAGATAAATGTTATCTTCAGCTAAAACTCACACTGCTTCCCACACACGGCCCCAGCAATTACAGGGACCGTGGGCTCCAGGGAGTAAGTGAACGTTCCATGATCGTGCTTGTTGACAAGAAGAAGGGAGGGAAAGAACAAAACTCTTCAGCAGTCTTTACAAGCAGATGGAAAAACAGTACAGTGTTAGACGCTGCAGCTGACATAGGCAACAGCCATAATGGTTGCTAATTCTCCTCTAACAAAGTAGCAAATACTCTTTAGTGCAATTGCAGTCATTCTGCAATTCTGTGCAAAGAGCTTCACTGATAGCAAGTCCTATTTGAGTCAGCAGGAGCTTGCGTATAGAAGCTATCTGAAGGATTTGGCTTATGAAGCATACAGAACAGAAGTATATAACTTCAAACTGCAAAATCCCATCAATAAATGTAATCTGTTTTTTAAATAATATTCTGCCCTGCAATTTTTTTCTCAGTTGCAGACCAATTGATGTGTTCTGTATGCATTCATAACCCCACTGCATGGCTGTATTCACCCAGGTATACGGTCTCTGTCTCAAGGTACAAGCTGTCTATAGTCATATTACTTACATATATGGATGGTATTCTCATTTGGGAAAATTGCAGGGGACAGTCACTGCACATCGTAGACCAAGTTTATTTGCATACGTAGCAGAAATGCAAAGTCACAGCCTGAAGCAGTGATGGAGCACCTGGTGAAAGGCAGGGCCAGCCCAGGGGAGCTCAGGTGCATGCAGTGCAGCTGAGTGATCTGAAGGGCTGGAGCCGGGATCCACCCCTTCCAGACCTCATTTAAGGGCTGGCTGTGAGGTGAGGGTATCTTACTGGAGGTCACTGTGTATCTGAGGTCTTTCAAAGGTAAGCAAAATTTCTTTCTCTGCTCTGTTTCTGTGTCCTCGGCTGCTGCATTTGGGCTTTTGCTGTAGATAAAGACTTTGCCACCCTGCTATTATTGCTGTACTTTCCATTGCATTATAGCATCAGCAACTCAGTGCTTAAAGCAGCCCTTACATGGTCCTTGTTATGCCCTATGTGCAGGTACATTGGTGAAATTGCTTTTTTAGGGGGAGAAAAAAAAGTCTTCTGAACTGTCTGTGACGTATTTCTGGAATTAACTTCTAGCCCCAGCACTTAAAAATTTCTATGTAATTGCTCAAATTATCCCAGAATATCATGGGGTATGTTCAAGGTTTGCTTCTCAATGATGATCTTGTAATGAGTAAATTAAATGGAACAATATATTGATTTTTGGCTTTAAACTGAATTTCTTTGTCATTTCTAAATCATTTAGTGTTAACTGACATACTCCTGTTTACTGTTACAGCAATAATATTCATAATGCTGAGTAATGTACAATATGTAAATAAGTGAGAAGTTTGTGCTGTCAATATCCATTAATAGAAGGTAATTTTTAAAAAGATGGTGGCATATGCTTCAAAAATAAAGAAATTCTGACTGCTTTTCAGTATCAGGTTGCATATATTAATTTTCATAAACTATCTGTGGTGCTCAGGGGCTCCAGACATCCATGTGGCTGCCATAAAGCAAATATAATGAGATGGTTCCTGTATCAAGTCTCCTTCTTTCTCTTACTAAGTTGTGTTGGAAAGGAAAGTAGCTTCTGTAATTCTGATAAGGCCTAGTTGTTATTTTCACCAGTAATCTTTCATTTTGAGATCACGGACTTGGATGAGAACCAAGGTGCAAATATCAGAAAGCGATGGTCAGAGCATGCCCACCTACTGAAAAATGAATGAGAGTTTTCTCTAAATGCACAACTCAAATTTTCATCATTTCTTGCCCTAACCTCCCCCACAGTCTGTGGTGGTACCAGGAAAACAAAGAAGTCTTACGTGATTTCTCACTGCAGTATCCTGAACACATGAGGAACTTGCCATTTTCCTTCATGAGAATAATCAGATACGCCTGTGTGATTTGTGGGCACATTTGTACAGATGGTTACAGATATTATAACTTATCACTTAATATGTAGGGCAGAAGGAAGCTTTCTGGATGATACATCTGAACACTTAGTCCTCTGAATGCTGGCCTTCACTTAGTTTGCAAATATAATCATAGCAAAAACAGTATGAATGTTTAAAGTTTTGAACGTGTGAATTGGTATGAGAGGACAATGCTTGTATGTAACATCTTGGAATACTCATGAGTAATTTATATGATCGTGTTCTATGGATCATTATTCTTTTATTCAGTTCTTGCTATTTCCGCACTTCAGAAATAGCCTTCTTTTTCCTGGTGCTTCCACCTTCCTGCTCTGATCTTTTTATTTGGAAGGAGCAGGAAAAAAGTATTTGTATTACTTCAATAGCCATGTGCTTCAGGTAAGCTTTTAGCAGATGGTAGATTTTCTTCCTATGCCAGGTTCATGTTGGGCAGATAATTAAACAAGTGGGGAAATGTGAAATAGAAAAAAGATATACATACAGGCTGGCTGTAAAAACAAGTGTTAATATGTAGTGACTACACATTTGTCTGTTCGGACTTAAATAAAGGATTGCAGTCTGGAAGCATGCATGAGGAATCATTTTTTCCTTAAATGTGTTGAGATTACATTGTAAAGTAGTGGCTGAATCCCAACCTCTTTGGGATTGAACATGTTACTAGATAGACAGGTACATGAGATGCAAACTTCCAGGTACCTTACAGTATTTATCCAAACTTCTAAATAGTTGGGTTTGATAGGTGTCAAAAGGTATACAAATTAATTGCAGTTATTTGTATTCAAAGTCTTTGCCAGCATTCCATCTCAGGCTTAGTGTCAGATGCAGTGAAATAGGGGAAGCTGCCCATTATTTTGAACCCACGTGTAGAAGTGTGTATGTAAAGCAGCACAGCAACTAGAAATGGAAGAACACGGGTGGGCCATGGCGAGGCAGCTAATCAGCAGTGCAGGTGGTTCAGGTAGCTGCCCTTCCCACAGATAATTAATGTGTACAAGTAGCTGCTAATTGCACATTTCAGGAATGATTTATGAGGTGGCAGGGGGGAAAGAGGGACACAATCTAATTTCTTTGGGAACCTCTGCTATTCATACAACGGTATCAGCACAGCTGTGAGATGGGATGTGATTAATGAACAGTGGACAAACACACCCCTTCATACAGGATAGTGTTTTGATGACATGCTTGTCAAAATAGAAAGTGACACTTGGAACAACGGCCAGTAATGCTGCAGATTATGAGCTTTTTGTTTTTTAACTCTCTTATTCACTTGGACGTCAGACTTCACACCAGCCGTGGTTCTGAAATAAGGTCGCTTGTGTTCATCAGAACAGTTAATGGTTTAGCACAGACTGTTATCATTGACTTGTTATGAGTGGGTTCGTGTTTATGAACAAAAGACTACAGACGTTTATTTTCTCCGTTGTGGTCAAGGGAAAACAGATTTGGCAAGGATTAATATTTACATGGGATATTAACTCTAGGCTTATGAACATGTCTGTTCAATATCTGCTTCCAGTTCTGCATCTTGCCTGCTTTCTGGGAACACCTTTTACCTGTTGTCACATCTCCTTTTTTTTGCTATCTGACGTGCACCACCCAAAATTAGTGTACAAAAATGCTGCTTGTCTTTGCTTAGGAAGAGTGATTTGCACATCCTTGTGTTTGTTGTACCTTCTTATCTGAGCTAAAGATAATATAAAGTAATGTGATACTCCTGCTGGCATTTTTGTGGGCTGATTAGCATATCAGTTTGCTGTACTCTTTTAATGCTAGCCTGGTTTATCTCTGAAAAGATTGCTAAGATTTTTTTTTTCTCATTTGCCATCTTAACATGCTCAGTGCACGTATAAGACATTGCTGTAAAGAGCCAGTGTTGTGCGTTTCGCTGGGATGGATGTTTTGAATGCTTTTCTCAATTAACTTTCTATATATCAGAATAGAATTTGGTGTTTTGCACTAGGTTCTGGAAACTGTTATCTGAGGAACACAGCTCAAGCTGTATAATCAATCTCTGTTTATTTTAAGTAATGTCATGTTTTTAAATTGCTTCAGTTCAACATTAAAGAGTGAATGCATTTGTTTCTATCTTTTATAGCTTTTAGAATTCGACAGAGAGCTGACAGTCTTTAAGGACAGATTGTATGAACTGGACATCTCATTTCCTCCCAGGTAAGATTCACATATAATCCATCTATTAAACACCAGTGAGCTGGTGAAAGCATAACTGTTAGCAGCATTGTAGATAGAATGTGAGTGTTCCTATACATACTGTGGAAGTGATAATGATCTTCATTCCCTTTGTAAATATATACGGTCTTCCTGCATCCCCTCAACTACTACATAAACAGTGCTCAGTGGCTCATAGTTTGGATTGAGCTGATACTGTGTTTTATAGCTGCTTTTAACATAGACATTACTTGATTCTGCGCTACGAGAAGAGTAGCTACTAAAGCCAGATGGCCTGTTGAGGTACTTGGTTGCAGCCACAACAGTCTTTGCCACCACTGTTGACGACTGGATAGCAAGTGGTGCTCACTGGAAATAGAATTGAAGAATTGGAGATGCATAGCTTACTGCCATGGCTCATGATGGGCTCCAGGAGTAGCAGGGAAGAAGGCAGGAACTTAGATTCTGGTTTTTCAGTTTCAGTAAGCATGCTATAGAACTATAGAGACTATCAGGAGAGTTTTGGTTTTTTAACATAGGTGTATGCATTTTGATCTGATGTACAGCCTTAGATGAATTTTAGCCATGAATACACACACTGCTATCAAACAAAACCAAGACTTCTGCAAATGGCAGTTCTCTTCATGGAAAATGTTTGGGAAAATTGATACATTTTAAAATATGTATAACCCCTTTCTAAGTATGAAGAAGTCAAATCTTAGTCATTTTTAAACGGGAAATAAATATTGTATTCATAAAGAATGAAATAATTTACAAGAAATTACTGCAGATCTAGATATGTAAACTACTTTATATACTTTACATGTGTATGTATTTGTATACAAAATATGGTGCTCTTAAGTATTTGTTTCGTTCTTCAGAAACAGTCTGAAAGGTGTAACATTTCGGCATATACCAGAAAAAAACTTGAAAAGCTTCCCTTTTTGTTATCATAATCTCATTATTTTTCACCAGCCAGCTGTGATACTGAATTATATTGATCCCGTGGGACAATGGGAGTATGCATGGAGAGGTTACCACTGCTCTAAATTGTTCTTATTGATTATGATAACAGAAGACCAGCAGTGTGTATATCGCTGGCTGTATTTCATTAGTTGTGTACTATTGGGGGTGAAAGGAAGTGAGGAAAAAAGACGTACGTTTTTTACCAGAAAGTCTTCGACTGGATTTCACTAACCTTGCCGCTTTCTATAATGAAGATTAGTTGCTTTCATTTTCATTGCCTATTTTAGAACAGTTTCACTAGTGATGTGCAGTGAAGGAAACGTGTGATCTCAGTTCATATAAGTGAACGTACATCTCAAAGTCCAGCTGTCATTTCACTCGTAGGAAGCCTGGAATTAAGCTTTCGGTCTCCAAGCACAAATAACTTTGGCACTTGTAGGCAAACAGGTCAGGCGAGACTGAGAACATTCTTACTTGTGAAGTTCTCTATCTTTCTTCTGCAGGTCTGTGTTGGTTATGGCCTGCTTTTGCTGCTTCCCGACCTGTCTGGGTGATGGGAGTGGTGTTAGGGTGTGTGTTTGTTTGTTTTTGCTCATTTATGGGCTTTGCCAGTGTTTGCTTTAAGTTTTCTTCCTCAGAATGAAAACAAAACAAAAGTACAGTAGTGTGCAAGCAAAATGCAAATCCAGGCCAATCTCTCAGCCAAAATAAGGGTGAGGTTTGGCAAAAATACGTTGTTGCAGGAGTGGTTTGCAGGTTCTTCAGACCCCTCAGCCAATACAGTTTGCTGCCGTTCTGCTCTGGAGCGCGAGTCAGAAACTCAGTGCGAGTCTTTGTATCTAAGTTGTACTCCTGAACTTCCTGTGAAATGATGTGAGCATTTGTCCAAACGCTAAACTTTTGAAAAGTTTCTTTTCACAAATACATCCAAATCTCATTAGAGGTGTATTTTATTATTCTAGCAGCTACGTTCCTTGCAAACTACAGCCAGACTGTGAACAGTGCAGAACTTTCCTTGTAGCTGCTAAGGGCTGCGCAGTGTGAACCTGTGGGCAAAGAAGTTGAGCCTTCGTCCCCATCACGTCCTGTCAGAGCTGGGGCAGGGGAGCTCCCTGTGAACAGCGCGGGGTTGTAGCCAGCACTGCTCAGTGCTCGCTGTGTCGTGCAGTGAGGCACAGGATCAGGTTCTGCATAGGCCACAGCTCCTTCATTTGGGCATTTGCACGTGCAAATCTGTGATCTCTGAGTACAGGCTAGGAGCCCAAGGAGGGGTGCAGCAAATCCTTCCTCAGCTTCCAAAGGTCCACGGAGAACCAGCCCTGCAGCTGCTGTTCTCAGCTGTGCAAACAGCATCAGTGAGAGGATAAATGTATGTCTTTGCCTGATGCTCACTGTCTGCTTCACATAAGAATGAGTTTTATGCTGAAAGCTGGTACTTCCTTTTTGACATGGAAGAGATGTTAATGCTGGACTTATGTAAGAAGGAATTTCTTTGAACTTAAGCAGAGAACTGATAGAAATGCAAGAATATTGCTAGGAATATAAGATGTATGTGCTGTCCTCATGCACGTACACAGGAGAGATCAGCTTTAGGGTGTTTTTTCTCATCCATCCTTCCTTGTGTTCCAGGCCATAAGTCAAAGGCATCCTGCTTTCCATTTTGTAATCCTTGCACAGCCACCAGGGCAATGAGAAGTTTTGCCTGAGCAGGGTACTGCAGAATTGGATTCACTGGTGCTATAGAGTTTCTGCAATCAGTGTGTTATTTTTGTTCAGGAAATAAAGCACATTGATTTTTCTGGTAGAAATAACATGATTTATTTTTATTTCTATTGAAATAATTACCTCTATCTGTTATTAGCTGTAAATTCTAATCTTTTAAATGGGCAAAAAGCTGCATGTTTTTCTTTATAACTTAAAACCTAGAAAGAAAGGAACGATACAGCCTAGATTTTTTTGCTTAATTTGCCATCTTTTTTCCCTGCATTTTTTCCATCATCTTTTGAGAAATATCTGTAGCTTCTCATTACTTGGACATTTTACTTAGTTTTTGTAAATATAAGCTTTATGTATGGGATATCTGTCATATATCCAATCATGCTTTTTATATCTTTAACCGAAGGAGGATGTGAAAAGTACTGTATGCTTAGAAACTACTTTAAACGTCTTGGAATTCTTGGCTGCAAAGTGTATGATACATCAGTTTGTTGCATTTGCAGAATGAAAGAAGCCTTTTTCAATGAAAGAAGAGGCAGAGAAAGATCTAAAGTCACTTTTTGTGTTAGGCCTATGTGCTTAATAAGTGAGTTTTTGAATTTAGAAGGAAGCCGTGAACAATTGTAATGATAGCCTTAAAGCAGTATTCCAGAATTTATTTTAGTTAGCAAATCCATCCTAGCTTTCATAATAGCAAATGTTTAAATAGAAAAGTTTGTGATTTATGAAGTTGAGCAAAAGCTTATGAGATGAGAAATTTCATCCTACCATTCTCTTTCTACATTATATTTCTCTCTTAATCGATGGTTGTTTGTGTACATTGCATTTCTTAATACAGATATTAATTGTCTGAACTGTGGTATGTTTTGAGTGATCTAAGTTATAATCACTGTTACAGTTAACAAGTAATCTATACTGTTTTTTGATACAATATTATCAGTGCTGGGGTTGGGTTCTGTTCTTCACACGTTCCTCTCAAGATGTTTGAGAGTGTACACTTCAGATAAATGGAAAATGCTGCATTGCTTTGAGTTTCAGCAGACAAAGTTATAAGCATAAACTGTTCTTTCTCTGGATTTTGTCATGAGATGATGTTGATACGGAGCTGTTGGCCTGCTGTGAGAGCTCTAGTCCTCCTGAGCCAGTGGTACTTCTGCAGTCAACTTCATCGGGGCCAAAACTTCAGCTTGAACAGTTTTCTGGTTTTGTGTTCACTTCATTCCTAGAGCAGCATTACACACGATCTAGATACCTCGAGTATAAGCACAGCTAGGTACAAACATGCTGTGTTTGTGCTGAGCCCTGTTCTACCTTGTTTCTTGCGTAATGCTGAGGGTGGCATGGTGTCTTAGTTCTGATCTCCAGGCCAGTGCTCACTGAGGAGGACACCAGTGTGTCTGCTGGTGGACAACCAGTCCCCTTTCCTCATAAGAAGAGTTTGTTTTGACTGAAAACTACTGGTTTTACAGCATTAAAAATTAGCAAAATCATAATTGAAATAATAAGAAAACTCCATTTCATGGCGCCAGGCATTATGGCGAAGGCACAGGAGGGAATGCTTTCTCACAGAGGAATGCCTGGAGTTCACTTAGCTCTGACCAGTGCTTGTGGTGAGAACCATGGGCCGTGAACCCAGTCCTGAGTTCTCATGCCCTAGTCTTCATTCCTGCTTGTTTTAGCAGCACCATCAGGCACTGAGTTGTACAGGGTTCTTTTACAGTGAATTCCTCTGCCCCTACTTCTGAGTTTCAGCTGAAGCCATGACAGTTGTGTAGGGATATACTTAATTTCTTTTAAATGAAATCACAGCACTTTGCTCTTTAGGTGAAGCTTTGTATAAGCAAAAAGCACAGGGTGCACGGGGGATGTAAGCGAGGTGCAGCAAGCCTGGTTTGGGCAGCAGGAACTGTTCTAGGGCCTTAATGTGTTGGCAAACATGTTGTGTATTCCTACATGCTAGGGAAACAGCCCTTCCATGAGGCTTTACAGGAATGCAGAGTACAAGTTATCACTCTCACTCTATGGGATTTAAGGAAGATATACATCATTTACAGTATGAAAAAATGCCACTATTACTATTAAAAAGAAAACAACAAAAAAGCATAGAACTTCTTTGGGAACCTAGAATAGTTTGGTTGTCAATTCTACTTTTTTCCAGGTCCTTGTCACACTAAGATAGCATTTCAATATAAGCGTAATAAAAATGTTGACTTGTTCAGTAATTTTTCAAACAAAGCGACAGTGAAATGAAGATGTTGTAATACTCCTATGATGTTTTGTTCTCCTCCATTGTACTGATAGTTGTTGAGTTTATTACGCTC